GTTCCTTGTAGATCTCTAAAGAGCAATGAAGTTCATCAATCCAGCTCGTCAACTAGTCAGCTCAGCACCTCACAGGCAACTCGACACCTAGGCAGCTCCACTTCGGCCTCTGAGTCATCGGCCACTTGGAAGCTAACCAAATAACAAGGTACTTAGCCAAAAAATCGATACATCAACAAAAATTGATTCATCAGGTTCCATCTAACTTGTTATCTTCCCCCACAACCTCCATGTATTTAAGGGCCTATCTGATGATAATGGCTCACGTGAATGAACCGAATGATTTATTTGCTTGTCTTAGTTAACCATGACTATATATAAGTGGAAAAAAAAATGTCATTAAGACTAAGTTTGGAAGCGATATAATGTCATCAATGTAAAAGTACATTGATGAGGTTTTTTATCAAACCTTAAAAAAGTTATCATTGAACTTTGAAAAACATGAAAGAAGCAAATCGATATAAAACTTTATTTCTGATAAAGCTTTAATTTATGACATAAAACTCCACTCCATCCACAAAACCAAACCGACGTAAATTTTTACATCGCTTCAAGACACAACCTAAACAGGTTTGAGCTCCTTAATGGCTGAATGACTTGTTAGGTTGAGTATTATGTCCCTAACTACTTTTGCCATATGATTGTTTTATATATATATATATATCCACTAAAAGACAAAGCAATTAATAAGTCGTTTAATTCAGCCAACTTCAGCTGTTATCCATTTTCACCAACCACTACTACAGGCGATGCAAGCAAAAGCAAGAGAATGAGTAATTCGATCCGTTTGGGCTACAGAGTCAAAGCACAGTGACGACTCGTTTAAGCTACCCATTTAGGCATCCACATCATCTACCGTATGATACGGCCAGCTGCTACACGTGACAAATTTGACGTATATAAGATTAAGATGTGCTACACGAAACGTTATTCATCCTTTTTCAATCAGCTCTAAACTAATCTTGGTACTACTAATTAATGATGAATACTTAGATAATACCATGATGAGGATGATGCAAGAGGTGTGGAATTAATGTGGATCGACCCAATCTCTTTGCAGCTCCAATTCCTCTCCCACAAGAAGAAAGCAAATACTGGACTGATCAGTAACTACACGCATTATGTTGATGCAAGCCCCCAAATCAGAATTGATTTGCTAACCCAAAACAGAAATCGTCAGGCTATTCCCACTTGGGAAGCTTGCATCATAGAAGATAGAGAGATATTTGTTGTGTTCTTGACCTAAACTTATCCTTGTAAACCAGGCCACGACAGATGGGCTGACACCTGTACATTGATGCCCTAGTCTCAAGGTATGTGCCCATGCATATCACACTACCTTCTTGATGAAGGAGTATGATCATGATTTTTCATTTGTACCAAAATATCATTTCAATTCGAGTGATTGTGACACACGTACTGACACCTCTCTCTCTCTCTCTCTGATCTCCTCTTCCTCATCATGATCTCTTCAAATTGCAACAGAAACAACAACATCTGAGAGCAAGGATAATAATATACATTTCTTCCACCACCCAAGTTGATTAATTTTCACTTGGATGAATCCAAAACTTTCATTCTTTCCTTAAGAGGGAAGGTTGTAATGAGTTTCATTGCCTCATGTCTCATATATGATATTGGAGTACTCTTGTTTGTATATACAACAAATAAATGACGATGACTGGAACCCATAAAAAAATAAATAAATAATGATGATAATCTTCACCAAATCACAGCTAATCCACTTTTTATATATGTTTCCAAATTAAAGCAGATGATTAGTTGATTAAAAAAATAAATTAGGGTCTTTGGTTATACAGTGCCATGTGCTGTTTACGTAGTACTGTTTTGTATGAAGGAGCATTAATATTTATGATTTATGACTGTGAGATCAAGCCCCCTAATAGCCTAAAATTAGGTTGTGTTTGGATATATTTTGGCTTCAGAGTGTCATGTTATCCAACAACTCTTACCAAACGCACAAAATACCTTTTGAAACTCAATTTTTGTTTTTCATCACAGACTTGTCCAAATGTAACCTTAGTCATTCATTTATGATCTGCAGGCTTAAATATCCCTAGTGTTCATCAGTCAGTGTTCTGTATTTCGGTGCAGTAAGAAATTATCAGACATCCAGTACTATTCGCTTAGGATATCCAAACCTAATGAACATCTGCAATAGCTATTGCCTATTGATGTATGTTACCTCTCATACACTAACATCAACTTAGGCCCTGCATAAATTTATAAATTTAGGGCATTAGGGTTCGGTCATGCTTTTTGCTTGTAGGGATTATGTCCAAATATAAAAATTGCTACCTAAAACACCCATTTAATTTGTATATACCCATGACACTATAAGGCACACTCAGCACAAATATAATCATATAACACTAATTCAAAGGAAGGAAATAGTATGCCTTAGTGGGTCATAGGGTCATATACACCAGTAGTGCTGTAAATGGATCGGATTCTAATCGGCCCCCTTCCAAAATAAATGGTATAGGATCAAACAAAAAATGATTAGTGTGAGAACTCATATTCAAATTCAAGAATGTCATCAGTGTGCCAAAAGTTAGGTCTGGATCCAATTCATCCCTCCCAAGACCCAGGTAGCTGTGACCAAACATTGGGTGATGATTCCTTTTTTTTTTATATCATTATTAATAAGTCAAGTCATTATTATATATTACTACATTCAGCTGATATATCTTCGTTAAAAACTTGAAATGACTTTAAAACCATAACTTTGATGAGACTTGAACCTATTACTCTTTAATAAACAAACACATTCACACCAATCTTAATAATAGTAATTATAAATAGATATTAATTTTATTTAGTTATATATAAAACTTGTCAGGCTTTAAAAAAAAAAAAAGAAAAGCAGGGTTGGCGGGCGTGCCCCCTAAAATAGAATTTTCTTAAATTCAAGGAAATTACATTTGTAACCTCACAGGAGAACATTGAGAGGGAAGGGTTTTGATTGGTATACATGTATACGTGGGACCCATTTTGCTACGGAAGGGGTAGGGTACGCGGGACGTGGTGATTGGAGCACTGGAGTGCACTCTTCAATTATTTGTGTCAGTGCTAAATAATTAAGGAAATATATTTTATAAGGAAGTGCTGTGATGTAAATGAAGGTCCATCATCGTCAATGGATCCCCTCGAAGATTCGAAAATCCATTCCATTTCTTCCACGTAAGCACACTCCAGGCTCCAGCTGAGGGTGGGCCCAAAGTAGTAAAACACGAGGCATGATTGTATGCGTGTGGGACAACCCCACACAAGTGGCGACGGGGGACGACAGTGGATGACGCTTGGACGTCACGCTCGATGCCCCCAGCCGGTTGACGTCAACAAAACCTGAACTGCGTGTCCACTAGCGCGGGAAACTGGGTGGGGCCTACCCTTTGCCCTACGCGTCTGACTGTTGGTGAATGCCTAACTCCATTCCTTTTCAGTTTTCACATTCCCGAAGCAGGCCCCCCACCCTTCTAAGTAAGAGAGTCTGTCTGAGAGTCTGAGATAGGCTTCCAGACTTTCGATTTCCTATGTTTTGTCTTTGCCCTTTCAATCACCTAAATGCCCTCATCACATCTCTCTTCTCTACCTTCTTAACTTATTACACGTGGAATCATTATAAGATCTGGATTGGAGGGTGTATACTGTGTAGGTGTAGCGTCGAACTCGGACGTTCTCATCTCATCATCAAGCCGACTCACTCGTGAATGGTAGAGCAGGCGTACACGCTCAGGGCTAACATCCTCCAGCTCTACTCTACTGTCCAAAATGGGTATCGGTTTTTAAGCCTGTCCCATCCTATGGTTCTCATCATGCAGGGCCCGGCCCATGCAGTAGTGGGTCCAGATCCAGACCCACTCCATGCGTCATACAAAAGACATAATACATGGCAATTGCAGAAGAATTGCATATATCTACTTAATAATCTCAGAATTCAATACTATTTTGCCATTTTGCAGGCTTTAAAATGAGAGCAGAATCCTAATAGAAGTTGGGATTTTCTTTTTTTTTTTCAATGAAAATATGATTTTTTTTTTTTGTATACAGAGAATACTTTCGTAAAAGTTTCAAACTGTGGATCGTATAACGTACGTCTTTTCTTTGGTAAAAAATGGAATATTCCGCTTCCTCTGGTTATTTGGAAGGACGTGGAGTGGAAATACAAGCAGTGAAGGAAAAAAAGAGCAATTGATGAACAATATTCTCTCTCTAGTAATTGAATATTCTGTGTATTCAATCCATATCTTCTTACTTCTTCTGACACCTTCGTCTGAAATGTACTGAAAGCAACAATATTCTTTCTCTATCCATTTAGAGGGGAGAGAGGGGTAATTGCTTGTTTATTTTAATGTACTTTTTGTATGTAGAAAGTGGAGTACTTGGATTTTGTATTATGTTATGTAGTTTGCTTTCGGTCATCAATGAGAGCTTTCATTAGGTAGCCAAACATATAATATTCTCTCTCTCTCTCCCCGTCCCTCGTACACGTTTGGACAGAGACGTGGAACCATCAGCAACACATCTCGTTACATAACATAAATCCTTTTAATAACTAATCCAGTGGACACCCCGTTCTTATTTTATTTATTAAATAAAACAGGCATATTCCTGTTGTTAAATGGGTCGAAAGAGGCCGACTGATCACTGGTTTATCCAGCCCGACCCATCAGTTAAATGGTCGAAAAGGTTAAACCCATCCTCATATGTGGCAACCCAAAACATGGAAAAGCTTGGACCAGATTTGGTAGGTCAAGCATAGCCATCTTTACCTGTAGGCTGTAGCTGTGTTGAACTGGTGATAGCTTGGGGGGCTATGGGTTCTTTCACACTCGATCCGTTACCAACCAGAAAGAATACAGAAGAAAAACAAAGGCCCAAATTTCCATGAAGAGGAAGCAGCAGTAAAATAATTATAGAACTCGTGCATGTCGTTGATTATGCATGGAAACATATGAATCTGTGGGACTGACTAATAAATGTAATTGTAAGCATAAGCTCGCATTATGACCAACTAACCATCAAATTAATTTTTGTCATAATTTGAATACAAGCTGTTTTACAATTAATGAAAATCCCCAAAAAAATGAAAAATAAAGAAAAATAAAAAAACAGATTAAGAGTATGACACATTAGCAACTCATTAATTTTTTCATGTTATTTTTTATTCAGAAAATTTATCTTCTTCTTCTTCTTCTTCTTCTTCTTCAATAGTTCCATAGACAGTCAAGGTCCACAGGTCCAGCTGAAGTGGAAGGATCCTCATGGTTGGAAACAACCGAAGAGATCTCCGTGTTCAGTTCAGTGGTCAGGCCGGTCTCCTGAGAGATACTAACCATCTCCCTCTCTGTTTTGCAACTCTGTTTGATATTGGGTTCATGGTTTTCAAGTAAAGCCCTCAAGATGGCCTGGTCTTGCATCAAAACCGAACCTGGGCATTGGAAATTGCCGAGATTTGGAGAAGCTTGCGTGGAGTAGAATGAGTTCGGAAGAGAGAATTTTGAGAAAAGCGACGAAGTGGGGGATATATCAGAAGGGTTTGCAGGAGAAGCGAAAAGAGAAGTGTAGCAGTTGTTGACCATCTCTTCCGGGTTTCTCTGAACCTCCATTTGGTTGGAGAAGCAGGTCACGTGAGCTGTCTCAGCCACTGACGATCTGGTCATGCTGTTATACGGAGAAGAATCCATCAATGGGGGTAAAGCAGATGGAGCCAATTCTTCGTCCAAGGAACTCAGTCTCACTACCCCTGGAACTTGAATTTTCTTCTCACCTGAGCTCTTGTTGAACACCCTGCATATCACCCACTCGTTCTGTAAAAGAACGAACGACAGCAGAAAAAGAATTCATCAAAGACCACACAATAACATTGTCGATCAACAACGAAAAGCAGAAAATTGAAAGAAAAGCAGAGGAAGAGCTCTCCACCCTACCTTGGCTGATTTTGGTAGGTTAGACAGAGAGAATTTTCCCTCTAGCCTATATTCGTGCATGACCCAGTTGGTTTTTTCTCCTTTTGGAGCTCTTCCTCTGTAGAAAACCAGAGTTTTCTTCATTCCGACAAGAGTTTTCCCTCTATAAATCTCCTTATCCTTTCCTGTAGCTTTCCAGTAACCAGCTTCAGTAGCTCTGTTGGTCCTCAAACCAGTTGGGTATTTTCTGTCTTTAACACAGAAGAAGTACCACTCCTTCTCTCCCATTTTTGCCCTCCCTTTATTCAACAAAACACAAATCTTAAAGTTAAAACGTAATTCATAGCCAAGAACAAATACAGGAGAGAGACAAAATCTATTTCAAAAGACTTACATGGCATATCCCAAGGTTCACACTTATTCAAGTCCACCTCCCCAATTGCTATAGGATAGAAGCTGCTGTCAACCACCTTCTTGGACAGGTAGTGAGTTATAAGCTCTTCATCGGTGGGGTGGAATCGGAAACCAGGAGGCAAATCAATCTGCTCTTCTTCCATATTAAGCCCAGAGACATTTTCCATTCCTGCTTACAATCTTTTTTTCTCAGAAGCCACAGAGATTTTTCCCTAGAACTGATATTGGTTTTGAACCACAAGCACTAATTCTATTTCTTAGAGAAACCCAATTTCCTGAGACCAGGATTTGTAAAGAAACTCTAAATTTCAAATGAATTCTAATCAAGCAGCCCTACTTTTTTTTTTTTTTTCTGAGCTGAGGCCTAAGGCTAATCCAAATTCTATTTGTGTTGAAGGGAAGAAGGCTGGAGTAGAACCAAGGAGAGTTGGAAGAAAAGGGTAGTAGAGATGAAGAGAAGGGGGTCAGAACTGAAAAATTCCTTAACCCAAGAGATTGAGAGGCGGTGTTAAGAAAAAAGTGTTGTGAGGAACCCAACCCCCTAAATACCGGTTTTTGGAGAGAAAGAAACGTGGTTTGTAAGGCAACCAGGAGGGTAGTTATAGCTCCCCTTAACTTATCCCAAATAATTTCTCTTTTTTATTCTAAAATTTGACAAAAGACAACCATGTGTAAATATCCTGCTTCCAAACATGAAAATAACCATCCCAAATATTACTGTAATCAAGCTTAAAATAATAATTATCAGGTAGAGAGAATATTAATTGAGTTTTTTTTTTCTTTTAATCTCTGAAGGTCGCTTTCTTTGTTTGAATCAATCCAACCAAAGTCATCTACCAGATTAAAATAAAATAGGAAACTTTTTTCTTTCTTTTTAATGCCAAAAAGACATCCCCAACAAACTTTTTCTCATCCCATCTGCAATCGCCCCAACTCTGAATGCAAAGAAGACAACAATAACCAATACCCCAATTCTTCAAAAATTAGGAACAAGTCCCTTTGTTCTACCACCTGATGACCAATATGATCCCATTTGTGTTCCACCTGAACAAATATTTTCCCCCCATTTTTCATGTTGTAGAAAAATGTTCACAAAAATATACTCCTTATAATAGAAGCGTTAATTTTACTGATTATCATTTACTTATTCGAATTAATTGAATTCGATTGTTTAACTGGATGATTTACCAATATTACTTTGATGGACCATAGTCAGAAAGCTACAATGATCAAAGAATCAGGCAATCTTCTTCATAACTCTTGTTTTTTGGGTTGGAGATGGGGAGAGTTAGGTTGTTTGGACTCTGCATTGATAGGACAAGCAGCTAGAGATTTCTAGGCTAGTAATCAAGCAAATAATGTTTGCATGGGTGTGGCAATTGGCACATATGGTTGCTGCATTAAATTCAGGGTAGGACGCTAGTGATTGGTCTATCTTAAATGGGCCAAACATCCACCAATGCAAGTGCACAAGAAACACCAAGGGCCCATCTAGACACCTCTGGGCGAGCAAGCAACAAGTGGGTCCAAAGGCAAACACGAGTAGGCTGGATTATTTAGTTGGGTCCTTGGGTGTGAACCAACCACATTAGGGTTGCACTTGCACCACATACAACAACTTGAGTTGCGTCAGGGGTGCGTTTGGTTGAAACAATAGCTCCAACGTTGGTGGACCTGTCTCGTCTCATAACTACATAGCGTTTGCTTGATTGATCTGACTTGTGAGAGTATCTTCTATTTGTCCTACTAAGAAAAATTGCAAAGGATTACCCAGCTAATTAGGTAAGGCTTACTAACTTATTAATTTAATTAGTGAGCCAGCAAACACATGGGGCTTAAACACAATAACAATGCATTAGATGTAATCATCCCCTTAATTAAATTAATTATCTTGAATTGATGTTTTCTATCTTTTAGTGGCTAATTTCACCACCTAACCACCAGGTCACTGAGGCTGGATCTCTTGTTTCAACTTTCAACGTAGAACTAATAGAGGGAAAACTTTCTTCGCCTAAAAATACTATATTTTAAATTTAACTTCGCTCCTCCTTTTGTTTTTTCTTGCCATTAATAATTGATTAATATCATATTAAACTAATGAACTAAGAAATAAAGCAAACAAAACTTTATCTATATTCAGCTGGAAGGACCAAAACACACCCTAAATCTTGCTCAAGGCCATGGAAGGAGGAGGACCATTTGTCTATTCTTCAAGAAAAAACTTGAGAGAATAAGAATTCAGTGAAAACGGGAAAGGGAGGAATTTGTCATTTTGCCCGAAAATAGGGAGATATAAGTAATTTGAGCTGTTCTCCTCTCAGTCTCTCACTAATACCCGAAATTAGGTAGCTTTCTCTTCTGAACAAAGCCCTCCATCAAGCCAAAAAATGCAAACTCCTTCCTTTACAGGAAACAGAATGAAATAGTAGGGGGGACGCGTGGCAGCTTCAGCTAGACACAGGAATTTCAATCGTATTGGCAACCTTTTTGATCAATGATCAGGATTGGGTCTAATAGTAGACGTCAATATCCGCCACGTAAGCAGCGGAGAAAAAGGAATGGACACGTGGGCAGTGCTGCTGCTTTGGGTGGGGGAAGGAAGGTAAGTCAGTAACCCACCCTTGTCTGAATTCTGATTGGTTGCACTTGAAGTAAAACTAAGCTAACTCCAGAGTTGACTATTAACAATAGGTACTGCTGAGCTGGCGTATATAAAGCCTTGTGGCCCATGTCTCCTTCAGTAGCAGCAGCAAATCGTCACCGACAAGCTGTAACCACGTGGCAAAACTTGATTAAGGCGCCGAACCCGAAACTAAGGTTGTAGAGGTGTGTATGGTTAAAGAGTTAGGCGACCAGTTTGGGAAACAACTAAAATGGTCTGCGAGTCTGAATGCTGTGTATGTGTAATCCCTTATTACATGGAAATAGTGTACTAACACATGAGAGAGAGAGAGAGGAATAAATTTCTGGGCAATTGGCAGATATCTGGGAATTAGGTGTAACTGTGCTTTCTATAAAGTTTGAAGGAATATAGTTCAAAACCTGCACCAGTCAGATGAAAAATATAAAATATATGAAAAAGGAGAAAGTGGTTCAGATAATTGAAGCATTTTAATATAGAGGGCGAAAAGGGTGAAGGAAAAGGAGATGCAAAAGGAGGAGGAAGAAGAAGAAGAAGAGAAAAAATAGTGTCTTTCTTTCTTTGACCAAAACAGACTCTAGCTAAATGATCTCCAATTCTGTGTTTATTGCTGTATAATATAATCTGAGTTAGTTTAACACATGCATGTTAATTATATTCTGAAGATGTCATGATGCATTGAATAATTTAATTTAATCCCAACCAATGTGTGACATGGGATTCTGAACTCAGTGGGAGGTGGTAGCACCTGGTTGGCCTATTTTATAACAACCAGGGATCCCACTCATCTCATCAGCTTTTTGTTTAAGAAATGGTCATCTGTGCCATTTGCTTATTTTTATTTTGGTGTAGCTATTTTCCCATTGATTGATCTACACCATTCGATTGGCAGTTTCCTTATTTCCTCTTCTTTTATGATTTAGCATTATATTTCATCATCCATAGTATTGCACTCTACTCCATGCCATTTATATGTATATAGTTTTCCTTCTGGCTTTCCCCAACAGTGTTAAAAGGTGAAATCCGGGGATTGACAAGTTTAATTAGTTAGGTACACTGGTCAGGCTATTTTGTACCGAAAATATCCAGCACCATTTTATTTTATTTTCAGTTTGTCCTTCCTTCACACAAGATTTTGTCTCCAAGAGTAAACATCTCAACTAAGTTTGGCATGGAAAACTACAAATAGAAAAAGATGGAGATATGGGTTTGCCTAGCTTCAATATTACACCAGTAGTGCCAAAGAAACAGCTCATATATAAATATAGAAATTTGTTTTGGTTCATAAATAAATTTTTATGAATATATATGTTGCGTATATAAATAAGTGTATATATATACCAACATATATAAATTAATGCATATAATCGACGAATAGCTTCAGCAGAGAAAATATCAATATAAATCAATGGACTGACTACAAGTAAAATTGGGGCCCTGATGTAAGTTGCTTCAAGCCTGCATGAGAGATGGTTGAAAGGAAAGGTAGATTAATTATATTCTTCCAAATTAAATAAAGCGCCAGTCCATCCCAAGTTCACTTCATTCAAGGTAGGCATACATATAAGGAAGGACCCACCTCATCAGTGAGCAACTTGGCCGGCCCAATTTGCATCCTTTCTTTATTATTATTCACATGCTGGCCACTTGATTCCATTTGTAGGCCGGGTGGGACAATTTGGTACATATGAAACCCACAATACAATTTTACTGTTTTTCTACAGTTGGGTTTTGTTCGGACAAAACGATTGACCCATACTTAAACTATCGTGGGATTAATATTAGGGAATTAAACTGTCATGTAGTTGTGACAGAATATAGAGTTGGGGTTCAAAAATTGGACAGTACGTTACATACACAAATGGGCTGTCTTATTCTTAATTATGGTGGACAGCCTTGACACTGTACACAAATAGACACCCCCCCCCCTTCTCTCCAGTCTCCGGTGTCTAACACTCTGGTCATTGATTGATATGGGACAGTACGTCTGAGTCGCTGTCTTATTGAAAGTGTGTTGTGCCCAATTGTGGGAGGAGGGCCGCGGGGTGTGGGGGTTCTGCATCTAATGCGAATATGATGTGACCAACGAGACTTATTTTCGGGCCGACTGTGGAAAATGAAGGATCAAATCTAAATCTATCCATGTAAAGAAATGCTTAGAGAGAAAATGAGGCCAGGTGAGGTTATGGTAGGCATGTTGTGGAATACAACTATTTGATGAATTCATCAAGTATTACATAATGTAATGCCATTGTTTGAAAAAAACTTCCCTTGGAAGTTGGGACATGCGCAACTGTTTGGAATTGGGACTTGAGAGAACATGTAAATAAATGCTTTCTTATAATAGGACAAGTGGATCAGAATACTGAGACGCGGAATAATCAAATCTGTGTGTACTGAATAACGTGTTAGTGGACCTCACATGCACCCTGTTCTGTTCCCACCCCTAAATCTCCTGTAATGTATACGTAACATGTAATTAGTCTTTGTACCAACACTCCAAAGAATAAAGCATCAAATTTTCTAAAAATAAAAAATTATCTTAAGCCATTTCAACCATCCAAATGATGTATGTATTAAGATTTCAACTAATCCGACCCATCCAAATGATGTCTCATCAACTATCCAAGTGATACATTAAAATTTCAACTGATGATCTTTGGCTGTTCAAATAATGTATTGAATCAATTAAAAAAATCCAGTCTATCAAATTAAAGCAGTATTCTAACAATTAAAATTCTACCAAAAAATCCAAATTTTGCAGCAAGATGTCAATTAGTTTTAGTTATCCAAGTAAAACACCAAATTTTCTAAAAAAAAAAAAAAAAACAAGAAATCAAATCTAAATAAAATGATAAACAAAAAATAAGCCAAAGATCTAGACCATCAAAATGGCTTTCTAAGTTTAGTCAATTAAT